GCCTTGCAACGTATGATAATCTTAGTAGGCTTGAGTTAGTTAATATATGTCCGTTTTGCAAGGGTGAACCGAAAACGGTACCACACATATTCTTTGGTTGTCATTTTTCAGGAGCTATTTTAAGCAGAGTGCACATATGAATTGGATTGCATAGACAGATGACTACATTGGATAGCTCGGTGAAATGGATCAAGAAACACCATGGAGGAGCAGGAATCAAAGCTAAAGTAGTCCGAAATGCCTTCATCTATACCGTTTATTGGATATGGAGAGTTAGAAATCCAACCATATTTTATGGGGCCATAGTGAAAGAGGAGGATGTTTTTGCTAGGATCAAATACATGGTGTATAAGATCCTTTACAACATTTACCCACATGAGCTCATCACTTTTTGATATCTCTGTTGCATTAGATTTGTCCCATCACCTATTTTCTGTGTTCTGCCGTGTGTGATTATCTTGTATAGTTTTTGGGAAAAATTCACATGAATAATCCCAACTATCAGGTGTATTCTATTTTTAATCCCAAATATATGTAATTCTAAAATAATTCAATGAATGAGGGTCATCTTCTCTAAACAACCCGGTGACCTACATAAACCAATTCAGTAGGTCACTTGGCACGTGGCATGTTTGGATTAGTCTTTTTTTGTTCTTATTTTATTTCTTACTCCGTATGTTCTCTCTTTTTTCCGCTGCTCCGTCCATTGTCTCTGAGTTTTCTTTGGTGTGCAATATCCTTCTCATTCGTCGTTTTTTTCCTCCACTCTTCTCTCCCACTCTCTCTTCTTTTTACTTCTTTTTCGTCTGTAATTCTCTTTTTTCTTTTAATTTTTCCATAGTTGCTCCAGCCTCCGGTGCTCCTCCCTGTCTTCCCTTCCCAGTGGGTTACTGCTTCAGGCCCAAAAACCAAGGAAATGGAATCGGTTGCTAGACACCACAACTCTCTCATATCCACCCCGTTGGTTTCTTTTTCTTTCGAATTAAGAGGGGAGAACAGCCGGATGAGATTCAGAAGAGATACGTGGAGGGGAGATAGCCGGAATATTTCCATACATAGCCGAGAAGAGCAAAACCAGAGTCATAGATGGTAGAAGGGAGATAGCTGAATGTGCTTCATCGTCCCTAGATTGTTGTCGTCACAAACTTTGTCTCCACGACTCCACCGGAGATGGGAGATTCCCAGTTGAGTGAAGAGGAAATCAACATGTCCAGGACCTCAATTCGAATAGAGTATGGAGCCGGAGAGAAGAGATTGTAAGTCTTCTCCTCCTTGCCGACCGTTCCATCTGCTCCTGCATTCGCTGGCCGGTCGGCCAACTGTCCCCAAAGAAGTATATAAAGGCCTGCTGTTTCAGACGTTCAAAGAAGCGTCCATTTATTCCTTTTTTGCCTGTTTTTTTAGTTTTTACCGGTTCAATAAGTTTCAGGTAACCTGGGATCAATCTGAGAAGATGACATACGCACGGTAAAAAAAGAGTTGGTCCATATATATTTTTATTCACAATATGATTAAATATAAAAAAAATATGTTTTTTACAATTTTACATTATTTCAAAAATGGAGTACAATAAGTGAATATAAAAAAGTATAAATCCATACAAAAAAATATTCAAAGTAAAAGAAAATTAAAATAAAAACATTCACACCATCTAACAGAATTTGCTACGTAATAATAATCAGTATTGTTGGTAATGGTAATGAAATATTGAACTTAACTGTTAGAGTTTTGAAAAATTACTTTAAAGAGAACTTTTAGTGGTAATGTCTAATAATTTTCTTTTCTTATCATGTATTAAAATCCCCAATCCACGTTGTCTAAATCCTCAATAACACCACATATATAGAGCTTTACATGACTAAAATACGTCTTGGTAGGAATATTTCATCTTTTTCTAATGATAGAGTTTGATATTTATTGATTGTCAATTTGTCATAATACAGGCGATAACTATATGAAAATGTTTTTTTATAATCCAGGTGTCGGGGCTTACGCTCCCATAATCCTGGAGTCTGTGAACTACCCTCCAAAGCCCCTAGATAGTTAAATCCGAATCTGATCACAGTCAGCCTTGTCAGTACTGGCTCCAAAGGACGAATCCAGCAAGACTTACATCACCTTTCAGGCAGCTCCTCCCACCACATGATCCCGTTACCTTCATTACCATCCTCTTTCTTCTCAGCCGCTGAGCAACTCCGTGAAGGTAGGAAGAATCATCGGGAGCAAGACCTCCATCATCTCCCCTTAGTGGGAATTGAACCCAAGACCTCCCACAAAGGAGGCAATTGGGGGGTGGATGGTCATCCATTGGACTATACCCACCTTCCCTATGAAAATGTTTTATCATAAGTTTAAAAGTAATGAGAGAGAAGATGAAAGTGGAAATGTCCCCGATCATTTGTTAGTCCCTTATGAGAGAGAAATTTCTCGTATTAGAGAGAAAAATTTCCCGTATAAGAGAGAAACTTTTTCCGTATAAGAGAGAAAATTTCTATCGTCAACTTTTAGTTTTCTTATCTTACATAATCTTATCGTATCGTATACTTAAAAGTACTCCGTACTACATATGAGAGAGAAAATTCTTGCGCTCAATTATTAGCATGTTTATGTTCTTATACCTAAAATCACTACATATGAGAGGAAAAATTCTTCCGCTCAATTATATGTTGTTACTAACCATATTGAAGTTGAAATAATGTACCTATTTGAAATGTCACATATTGAAATTTATGATGTACATGATTATGGATAAGTGGATAACCAATAAAATACATGTTTGTACATTCTGATTACTGGTGCGAGGTTTCAAACACGCACAAATGAGGGAGAGTGACATTGTAAATCTTCTTGATGGGACTACGGTAAGGTATATTTCAATTTTGGTTAAAATGAATCTAATAATTTCAATTTCTTTATTTATTAAATTTAATAATACTTTTATGACAATATAAATAACACGGTAACGTTTTTGTCTTAAGTGTTACATTTGTGAAGTTGAAAATGTTATTTTTTCTATATACATTAAAATTTAAAATATAAAAGTTTAAATAAATAGTTAGTACTAATAATTTGTATGGAGGTAGGAAAATAGGAATGGTGTTTAATAATCTTTCAATTTTTTAAATTTTTTATATGCAATATTGGTATCATATGAAAGATCGTAAAAAAATATGAATTTTGATATACTTTTCGTAAAGATTAGAGAAAAAATGAAAAAGTTTTAAGACTAAAGAAAAATGGTGTTTTTCATACATTGGGCCCATATCATTAATGTCACATGTATTATATACGGAGTAATACTAATATCATACGTTACATGCCAAAAAAATGCTGAGCTTCCTCTGCGGTGGTTGTTCCGTAATGTCCTTGAAATGCCACATGTCATTTGTATAGGAAGGGAGACAATTAAGGAGAGAATAACACATAAACTTCATTAAGGGTAAAATAGTCTTTGAATGAGCTATTTGCTTTCTTATATATAAATAGATTTGAGATTAATACTGAAAGACACGTGATAGTTGAGATTATTCATGTGATTTTTTTCTAGTTTTTAAGGTGATGTGTTATCCTTTCTTGAGATAGCCTCGTTTTTACTCCCTATTTCTACCTCTATATTACTTATAGACTTTTCAATTCCAAAAACCTTACTCTTTTTCCTTTTTCCAAAAAACTGACCTGATTTTAATTAACTGTAGCCTTATTTTACTAATTGACTGGCTGCCATTTTATATTCCGTCCGCATCATTTAATTCATTTCCATTCACATCTCAATTCATTCCATCTTCAGCATCTGTCTTCCGCATTTACTTGACAGACCATAGGAGCTTCCGCCGCTGCCAATAGTGACATGATACCGCCCATCCACCGCCTCCACTGGTACATCCCTACCACCGCCCATCCCACCACCTCTGTCGCACACAAGTCGTTGAGGTCGTCGATAATCTTTCTTCTACTTCTTTTTTCTGTCCACAACTCCGCCTTCATCTTCTTCGCAATCTTCTGAAACTCCGACGGCCATACAACCGGTCAAGATTTATTCTACCCTTCTCGTTCGGAATTTGGATCCAATTTGAGGGTGTTTTATTTTCAGATCTGGGCGGTTGGGCGGGGATGGACTAGTTATGCAGGGGCTTGGGCTAGGGGTAGGGCAACTATGGGGCAGTTCTGTTGGGGATAAGGTGGACTGATGGAGGAGGGTAGGGTTGGTGTGGCTGGTCACAATGCCCTTGGGTCTGCCACCGGTGGCCACGATTTGGTTGTCTGGTATGGGTGTTTAGGGTATGATTATTGATTGGTTCATTGATGTAAAACCATGATGTTCATATTCAAATTCATTATAGTTGTCGCTCAGGGTGAAGTCTTTTTTGTGATGGGTGGAAAGAAATTGTGATTGAATTAGTCACTAAAGGGTTGAGTATCCGAAGTCATTAAACACAAGTCACTGAACACAGACTCACTGAACACAAGTCACCAAGGTGAGTTTCAGTGATTAGGGTAGGTCACTAGGAGCGTTTTAACTACGGGTTGGGGCGGCAGTTCATAAATGGAGGGCAGTTGAGTCACTAGTCGAGGTTTCGGGGTGACGGAGTCACTAACTATACAATCACTTTCAACCGAGGACTTGCTAGTCACTGGAATAAATGTAAGTGACCATCATGTGGTCACTAATGGCGGCGGCAAAAGTGCAGCCGGCGGCGGTGCTTGTGATAGTGGTGGCAGCAAAATTGAAGCCGGCGGCGGTGCTTGTGATGGCCTTGGCTATCATTGGGGTGGTTAGAGAGATTACGTAATTCGTAATTATGAAAAATGGAAAACCACAATCTATAATAAATGTAATATTAAATATGTACATAAATGATTTGGTAAGTCACATATTTGGGAAATTTAAAACTAAGTCACATTTTTGTCATTTGTATTTGATTTAGTAATATTCATAAAAAAAGGCCTACATAAATCACTCTCTTGGATAATATATATACTCACCTTTTATAAGAAAAAGAGAAGTTAATTAATTAATTAAAATGGGAAGGGAGTCCTCTGTTGCAAAAAATAGAGTGGGTTACCCGTGAAGTTCGACCTAATATCGTCCCAAAACGAGCACGGACATTGAACCAAACTCAACGTAACCCTTGTGTTTTTGCGATTTATATTGCACACAAGACTGGATTACCGTGGGTAGCGTATGAGCGTTTCCCTTGAAAAGGCAGGTGTATGAATCGGATACAGCGACGGCAGTAGCAGGAAATCGCCATGGATCCATCCCAGCACCCTTCGCAGCCGGAACAAGTTTCCTCAGAAGCGTTCAGCGCATTGCCATCTTCACAAATCCAAGCCCCCTCGTATGCACACGACCCGAATCAAGCAGCATATGCTTACTATCCACCATCGTATCAGTACTCATACTACGATCCGGCGCAACAAGCGGCATATGACTACTCAAACGCCTATTACCAACAGCCCCACCAAGAACAACCAACATCCACAAATCCGGCACAACCAACATCTGCTGATCCTGCAGCCGCCGCCGCCGCAGTTCAATACCAATATTCATATTACCAGCAGCCGCTACAACATGGGGTGGAATATGGAGGGGCGTACGGATCCGTGGCTACAACCCACATTGGGGCACCCGCCGGCCAGGTATGGGTTTAAGTGTTGTTGGTTGATCAATTGGTCATACATTTTGAGATGCGAAATTAGGTATTCATTCATATATTATGATTAATTTGGTGTTGGACTTGAATTCAGCACTAGGTTGTAGCTTTTCTCATCTGAAGTGTTAAATCTTTAGATTGATTGTCGTGTTTACAGTTTATGAATCCCAATGAGGTTTATGCTGTGCTCTCTAATTTAAACATACCTTTGTTTCTACTTGTGCTGGGCTTTACTTATTTGAGAAATGAATGGAGAAGGAAAAAACTATAAAAAGTAGCACAACAAGAGATGGATTTGGGTTCGAATGTGAAACAGAGACACAGGATGAAGAAATCTGTCAATTTAAAATTCAACTTTTGTAGATTTATAAGTTACCCGTCCTAATTAAATGCTCTAGTTTTGCTTTCCTGCACAAAACTGGTTGAGCTTGGTAGCTCTATTCCTCATACAAGCTGAGTCCTGCTAAACGACGAGTGGAACTTGAGCAATCCATGTGATGACTATTCTGCTCAGCTAATTATTATACAAGATTTTCAAGATGCTATACTTCCCTAAGAGCATATTTGGAACCTCAGAATCGATTGTCTGTTCCTGACAAGTGTCATCATTTCTCTGCAAAGACTTGGAGCATAATTAGCTGAGCTGAATGGCCAATGCAAATGCTAGAAAAGCTGAACAAAGTGAGCTGGTGTCTTAAATTGGTAAACTCAAGCTCACTCTTAAAGTGCAAACCAGCTTGCATATCGTCAACAAACCAAGCTTGAACAGCCTATAGTGTGGCCAGTTTTATTATTCCCCTTACAATCCTACTTAAAGTTTTCTTTGTCATTTGCAGAAATGGTTAGTCACAAGAATTGGAATTCGTTGAAGATTTTGATGATGTTTGAGATGGTACAAGAGCACCGATTTCGATTGGACTGTACTACAGTTTTACTTTTTCTTACTTCCCTAGTATTAAACAACCCACTCATTATGCCTTTGTTTGGTTGGTGGCTTTTGGAAGGGAGGAAGGAAAGTGACGTAGTCGTGTGTATTTGGTTGGGGAAGCTAGAGGGAAGAGTGAGGACAATATAGGACCCATAAAATCCTCCAAACTCATCATAACTCCTTCCCTAATTCAGGGACTGGGAGATAAATATTTTGTTAATATGCCACTTTTTTTAATCAATATTTTTCTTACATTACAATTATTATCAGTTTATTGCCAAACATAGATAGCCCTTAGGGAAATGATTAAGGAGCTAAAGTAGAAATTTTTAATTCAAAATCATAGGTGTGTGCGTTTTACACTTCTACATATTTGAATGCATGTTTGCATCCCATAATAAACGTTCTGCTAAGATATATGGTTAGCATACCTTACTATTGTAGTATTATTAGTTCTATACATATGGATCAGTAATTTCACCGTGAAAAATTATAAAACCGAATATGATATTTTTACAAATATTTCCAAAATACAACTTTTTCCCACTATATTGAATCAATACTTTTTTATAACCCCCTTACACTTTATCCCATGCACTTCCATATTTTCTCCTCCCCTCTTTTGAACCAAACAAGGGCTGCTTGGGTTATTTCATAAGCTGACAAGATTTAATATCTCCAATCATTGCTTCACTAGTGAAAGATTTCGTACTGGGCTGTTAAGACGCTGCCTTATGAACCATAAAACCTTTCAGCAAAGAGATGTCACCCCTCATTCTACATTGAATAATGTTAGATACCATGGTTAGGGTAAACTCTACTCCTCATGATATTTTCCATCTAAGTGGTAAATTCATGCAGTGAGGATTTTTTGAATTCCATCTCATTATTCTTTTGTTGCAACAGAAAGGGTGTATGGCATAAAACCTTTTCATTTTTTTCTTTTGCATGAATTTATAGCATTAACAAATCTTAGGCACTTAGGATGTTTTTACTTGGACTGTTTTCAGTAACAGATAAGACTTAAACAGACCAGACCTGAATTGTTTAGGTGTAAAATACACAGAGACCAGACGTTTACCAGACCAGTTCAGACCAGACCAGACTTAAACAGACCATACCAGACCAGTAAATTTCAGTCCAATTAAAAACATCCTTAATCGACACAAGCAGTTTTCATGTAACGGATCCCAACATATAGTGGTCATGATGACAACTATGACTGTGAGCTATTCATCTCTTTATTTTATTTTGTCGCACTTCCTACTCTCATTTCCTATTGTGTGCAGTCAATAGATAAATGTTGGTCATTAAGTATAAGTAGAATTTCAATGGCATGGATTGTATGTGTTGGATAGTCGATGAATAATTAAACCATGCAGCATGTAGATGGTCGAGTCAATGTTTAAGGCCACGCCGTATCCCATATGTTAGTAGTGTTGCTTCAGAGACAACTGAAGCATTAATTGTGTCCTATATTGTATACTCCTTTCAGTGGCAATATGACGAGAAGTCAAATGATTGCATATGCATGTTGGGTGATCTGTTTAATTATTTATACTGCTGCCTGACAGTGGATACGTTTTATGCCATAACAATGATATTGAAAGCATGACTGGACCAGGCCGGCTGGTTCTGGAACTGGCCAGGTATCCAGCCTATTCATCTAGCCACCTTTTCAAAAAATCAGGATTGAACTGTTGGGGTCGCCCAAGTACCACTTAACTGGCCAAAACCCATTCAAACTATTGGCTGATTTAATGTTTTTAGTCCTATTTGATTCATGCACATTAAATTTTCTTTTGATGTAAGATGCTTGAACTTATGCTCTTTTGTAATGTTATTTATGCTGTAATCCTATGACCATCTAAGCTAATCTTGACATGCCATATTAAAAATTGAGACTTCAGAGACTTTGTTGATATTGATTTTGTTGGTTTTGATTAGATAATGAATACTGTCACATTGATGTTTAAAGAAATATTCTATAGCAGATAATTTATGATATACAAGTATGAATTATTAAACCGGTAAAACCATTGAACCTCTGAACAATAACTTGTGTAGTCCAAATTTCAGCCACTCAGCTTCATCACATTGTATATGCACACATGATTTTTAGATGATGTATTTGTCATCATTTAACAGGTCATGCAATCATCATCACATAGAGGCGGCAGAGGGAGAAGGGGTGGTCGAGGAGGTGGGCGGGGAGTAGGCCGTCGAGGTCCAACTCTGACCCATGCATCAGCACAACCTTCAGCTCCCGTTTGGCCACCCCCTCGTATGGCGTGGTGCGAACTCTGCAGGGTTGAGTGCAACACTCCTGAAATCCTCGAGCAGCACAAGAGCGGAAAGAAACACCTAAAGAACTTCAAAGTTCAGGAAGAATTGCACCGAGTCGTGGCTGCTGCCAACACTGCTCAGGTTCAGCCGTCAGAGGGAGTTGGACCTTCTTTGGCAACACCCGAAGTGAATGCATCTGCTGTTAACGAAGGAGGAGAAGGTCAAGTGCGCGGATTGAAGCGCAAGGCGAGAGGCGGCGGTCGGGGAGGAGGAGTGGGAAAGAGTTTGAGGAGAAAACCAACAAACGGCCCTAAAGGAGGACACATTCCTTTAATATGTGAGCTATGCAACGTCACTTGTGAGACACAACTGGTTTTCCAGACCCATCTGAATGGGAAGAAGCACATAGCAAACCGCAAACGGTTTGAGGAATCAGAGGCCGCGTTTGGGCAGGCGGCAGCCCAGGCGTTATATCCAGCTCTTCAACAACTTGTTCAGATGGCAGCACTGGATCCTCAATTTCTTCTTCTTCAGCAGCAGCAGACGGTTCTTCCTGGAGGAGGAGGTACTCAGGATCTACCTTTGGTCTTCAATCAAGTACCACCGCCAACAGCAGTGACACCACCAGCGGCGACAGAGGCAGAAGATTTGGTGAATCCTCCTAACCCTCCTCCGGAGAACCATGAAGCTCCTCCGTCAACAGCAGTGACACCACCAGCGGCGGCTGCAGAGGCAGCAGTCGCCACCTGATGTGTAGTAATTCACCATTTCGTTAGCTGTGACATCTACTATGTGAGCCTGAATTAGAAATAACTTGTTGCCATTGTGTTTCGCAAAATGACGAACCTTTTACGTAGTTCGGAAAAGAAAGGAATATGAATCTTCAGAACCTGAGTTCAGTTTATTACTACTTGCCCATTTTAGTCCCCTGACTTTTATATAGGTTGTTTGGCCTTTGTTTGGTAGTTTCACTATTGAATTGTTGTCATTATAGAACTTCATTGGCTTTCAATATATTTAAAATATACGGAGTTGTGTTATATGTTTAACTATAGACATTTATCTTCCAGAGTTCCATCGGTGAACATATGACAGACAACCCAAAAGGCCAAAACCGATGGAAACAGTTTCATGGTTTTTATTTATCTGGTAAGAATAGAAAGCCAACTGTTCAAATTGAATTCATTCTTGGTGTACATCCTTAGTTGCTTGTGCACAATGAATACATGAGTTGGTGTACTACTAGCGTTTTCTATTCAAATGATTCATTTTTGGTGTATACATGACTTGTACACATTTTGTGTATACTCTCCTAGTTATTTGTGTACATGGGCAACTTCTGAACGAATTGCTTATGTTTCGAATTGCCTGTCAGCCCAGTAGGGGGTGTGCACAAAATGTGTACAACTTATGTGTATAAATACTTTTTCCATATTTTGAGAACAAAATGACAAAATTTTCATACATGCTTTGTCGCCAAATCTTTTGAATTGCGCCAAGTGGTATATGATTGATTATAAGATTATTGATGATGCAATAAATTTTATAATCATTTAAAATTAAGGTAATGTGCTGGCAACATTTATATGATTCAAAAGTATACATAGTACTCCGTATTTTTTACAATTTTAAATGTGTCTCACATAGTTCCTCCTTGCTCGGCATAACATTTCCTTGGTTGCAAACATGTAATAACATTTCATCAATTCCAAATAAGCCTGTCAATGGGTCGGGTTCGGGTCGGAACGTAGTGGTTCGAATTTGGTTTGGGGATTTGGGGAAGATGAAGTGTTTGAGGCGGATTTGGGGTTAAAACGCCCGTATACCCGATCGAGTATGTGCTGTTACTCGGTCGGGTATGTCCGGAAAGTGGGGTTTTTGAGCAGCCTGCCTCCGGTACTCGATCGGGTATGTGTTGTTACCCGGTCGAGTATTGCTGGAAAATGCATTTGTTGAGTGGTCTGCCTCTGGTACCCGATCGGGTATCATTCCATACTCGATCGGGTATGTGTTCTTTTCTACGTTTTGAGGCATGTACTCGGTCGAGTGTGGGAATCAGTTTCCTTCAACTTTAGCATTTCTGTACATACCCGACCGGGTGTATAGTGATACCCGATCGGGTATCCCTTGTTTTTCAATTTTCGAGCCCTGTACTCGACCGAATATGGGCATCAGTTTCCCTGGTACTTCGACTTTCTGTACATACTCGACCGGGTATATAGTGATACCCGATCGGGTATGTCTATTTTCTTTCAAAAACTCATGCTTCCTCGATCGAGTAATGCCCGGTTCCCCTTCTTTTGGCCATACCCGACCGAGTATAAGGTGGTACTCGATCGGGTATGTCCCCAGATGTTCCAAAACCTGCATTTTATTTCTTTTTCCTCCAAAAACACGTGATTAGTTCCCTCTCTCATTGATCTCTCAAATAATTTAAACAAACAAAAAATGAATTATAAACACTCGAATTTATGAAAAAATAAACTTGGGTTGCCTCCCAAGAAGCGCCTTAGTTAATGTCATGGCACGACGTTATTCATTTTTTTTCTATTTTTTTTTAAGTGGGATCGTGAACATCCCTTGATTCATTTTTTGTGGCCTTATTTAGCCATTTTTCAAATTTATTTTTCGGCCTTTTCCAGTAAGGCCGGGGTTTCTTTCTCATTACCACCTCCATCATAGGTGGATCTGGTTCCCATTTTATCACATTCCTTCCTATCAAAGATGACTTCTCGTGTTTATTTTTTTCTTCTTGAAAAAATCTGATTTTATCCGCTTCTTTGAAAAATACCGGTTCTTGTGGTTCAACAACATGTAAAGAACAAAGAGTTGGATTTTGCATTTGTTTTTTCGTAGAGTCCAAGATGTTGAATTTCACTTTTTGATCATCGAACTCTAAAGTTAATGAACCACTAGAAACGTCAATTTTCGTTTTTGCGGTCTTCATGAAGGGTCTACCCAAAAGGATGGGTGTTGTTTGGTCATCAGTTCCCATTTCAAGGACATAGAAGTCAACAGGAAAAACCATATTTTCTACTTCTACTAGCACATCTTCTACTACACCCTTCGGGTAAGTACTAGAATGATCCACCAGTTGAATCACTACACCGGTTTGATGTAATGGGCCAAGTTGTAGAGTTTTATAAACAGAATAGGGGATGACATTTATTGATGCCCCTAAATCCAACAAGGCCTTAGGAAATGTGGTGTCTCCTATTTTGCAAGGGATAGTGAACATGCCTGGGTCGTTACATTTTTCGGGGAGTTTTCTCTGAAAAATGGACGAGACGCGTTCACTAACTCTAACTTCTTGTTTCCCCTTCAATTTATCTTTTCTTTTTGTTTTGCATAATTCTTTTAAAAATTTAGCAAAACGAGGGACATTTTTCATTAAGTTAAGAAGCGGAATGTTTACCTCACACTTTGCGAAGGTTTCATAGATGTCGGCATCTTTCTCTAGCTTCTTTGTCTCCTTCAGCGCCTCAGGAAACGGGATTTCTTGTTCATATGATGAGGGTGGGGGAAGCTTGGTTTCTGTGATCTCCTCCTCCGGTGGGACTACTTTTTCAGGGTCCACACCCTCCATCTCTTTATCGTTCTCTCCTACCTCTTCCAACGTCGCCCCACTTCTCAACATTATAGCATTCACATGTTGTCTCGGGTTTTGCTCCGTTTGAGATGGGAGTTTACCCGAGTCCTTTGTTTCAAGTCGGATTACGGCATTTGCAATTTGACTGACTTGGCTTTCCAAATTCTGAATGCTGGATTTGGTCTCATGCTGAAATTGAACCATGTTTTGTTGCATGGTTGAGACATTTGAGGTGAGTGCTCGGATCATGTCTTCGGTGGACATACTTGAGCTTGACGTCTGGCCTTGGTGATTTGGGAAAGTTGGTTGCAAGGGCTGATTTTGAGGGTTCCCATATCTCAAATTCGGGTGATCTCTCCACCCAGGATTGTAGGAGTTAGAGTGGGGATCATACCTCTTTTGGCCTTGAAATCCCAAAGCATTGACTTGCTCGGAATTCTCTTCTTGTAGTGTTGGGCAGAAATCGGTGGGGTGCCCCTATGTTGAGCATATGCCGCAGACCTTGACTTCTTGGTGTTTTGGATTTAAAAGGAAATTCTTTACCAAAGAAGTCAAGCCGGTCACTTGACTTTCCAACGAGATGTTGGATTCCGCTGCCATGACTCGTTTTGATGATGACCTCCCATTGTAGTGTCTAGAATTCTCGGCCAACTCCGAGATGAGATTCCTAGCTTGGGAAGGGGTTTTGTTGACAATTCCCCCTCCGGATGCTGCGTTCACCAGGCGTCTATCTTGCTCCGCAAGACCGTCATAGAAGTAGAAGATGAGGTCTTGCTCTGTGTAACCATGATACGGGCAACTAGCACACAATTTTTTAAAACGCTCCCAATACTCATATAATGTCTCATCATCTTTTTGCTCGATGTTGCTTATTTGTTTTTTCAAAGATGATGAGACGGATGCATGGTAGTACCTTTCTAGGAAGCACTTTTTCATCGATGCCCATGTATCTATACTCCCTGAAGGGAGATAGAATAACCAACCCTTAGCTGTGGCTTTGAGGGAGAATGGAAAGACCCTCAACTTGATTTGTTCATCGTTAACTCCATTTGGGCACATGCTTGTGCAAACAATATGGAATTCCGAGAGATGTTTGTTTGGGTCCTCGCCCCGTAGACCATGGAATGAAGGAAGCAGATGAATGAGCCCAGATTTTAGCTCAAACGTATTACCCTCATCAAGTGTAGGGAAGGTAATACACAGTGGTTGTTGGTTGAGGTTTGGAGCTGTGAGCTCCCTCAGCGTTCTTGTTTCAAGAGTCATAGTGGTTGGCTCTTCGGTGTCGCTAGAACTAGAGCTAGCGGTGTATGAGTCTCTGGTAGATGATTCTTCCGAGTCGGTATTAGAAAATTTACTTTTCAACCGCTCGAAAGTTTGTTCTATTTCTGGGTTTTTGTGATATGCGATTTCGTTTATGGAACGATGTTTAACCATAAACTCCACTAAGCTCAGAAAATAGAAAAATAAACACTCTTTATATTTTGACGTGCACTTTGTCGTGAGGTGCACTCAAAATAAATACAATACAACGAATATACGTAGTATAACGAAGTAAGGTTCGTATCCACAGGGAAAGGAATACTTTTCTTTTATATAAGTAGTAACAAAGGGGGGTTTAGATTTGTTTGATTTAAAAACACAAAGATGAACAACCTATATGAGTTTAATTTAATGAGATGAGGACTTGGTTTTGCTTTTATCCATTTAATGAAATGTTCGTCGATCCCGGTTATATCTTTAACCATCTTCCTCTCGAATACTCAATCGAGGAGTATATCCAGTTCATCGAGGGTAGTTATTAATAACGAGATGCGTTCATTAATAAAACTTACGATCGAGTCAATATAGAACAAGCGCCGTATATTAACTTGATAGTAGCAATAAACTTAAGATGAAAATGATTGAGATTGATAACCTCAACACAAGCGGTTTATTGGTTTAATCAATATAACTAATTCCCCTTGGCATATTAACCATGAGATGCATGCATTAATATTCCAAGTTTACTACCGTTGAAACAACCGGATTAATAACAAGCGTATTAACCGATCGATTCTAGTAATAATCAATATGAGAAACAATACTAGTTGATACTTTAAGTAATGTTTAAGATATTAACATGAAATATGAATAGGAATTAATTAATACTCAAGGAAGAATATTAAAGAATATGAATCCTACTATGATTAATATCAAGATGTTAACTAATTGTCATCTTAGTAACACTCCCCAATATTAACATAGAGGAAGAAATAACTATTACTATAACCAATGTCAAGATGTTAACTAATTGTCATCTTAGTAACACTCCCCAACTTTGATATAGAAATAGTATTTTAAAGGAAGAATTAATATTCAAAGAAGAAGATTAAAGAAAATAACTCACAACTTACAAATTCATTAAACTTCAAAGTAGCAAAACCAAGATGGAAGGGTTTAGCTCCTCATTTGGAGACTAAACATGATGAAAAATATAAAGAAAGAACTATTCTATACTGAGCTTAGATGTACAAAGGAATTGGATATCTTTTTGTGA